CTGTCAATATTCTTGCAGAGTATGCCGTTTTAGTTAATGTCGTCAGAAACATAGCAAAAATCGAGTATAACGTGTATCATTATGTAATGGCAGAAATTCGGCAAAAATTGAGCATAGCTTACCAACATAAATAGAGCCAATTTCAAACATTTTATGCTGGCACAATATATCGGCAGAATGCATACAGAGATTGCACATAACTTGCTGTCACGGTGTAACAGCAGATTGTCGGTAGAAATCAAACTTGTCGGCGAGCACGCTATGACGGCAAAAACACGGCAGAAATGCAGCATGCTCTGCCGTCACATGATGATATTTAATAAAATGGTATTATGATACATCGTACATTTAATTTAATGGTACTTTAATACAATTAATAAAATTAATAATTTATTTTTTAAAAACTTGAAAAACACAAATTGTTTTATTAATGGTTAATTCTATAGATTTTGTATACATACATTCTGTAGACAAGATATAATTTAAATAAAATTTTACAAATTTATTTAAAATTGCCAAACAACATGCGTGTGACGTATTTTTTAATCCTTTCTAAAACATTCGAAAGAAACAGCTCTAATTTATTTTGAACACATTTTTATATAGCTATCCACATTGCTTACTAAAAATACTATCTAATAAAACTGTTTTTAAATTATAGAGCAATACGATATGAATATAATGTTAAATATAAGAAGCGTTATATTTATTTTAATATATCAAGAATGTTCCGTATGTGAGTTTATCATTCTACTTTCTTCAATATTTGTTATGTGTTGTATAAGTGACATTAGAACTTTATAACATAATTAATATACATAATAAAATTACATGCATAATAGCATGCGTGTGCTGAATTATATACAGATTTCTTCTTTAAAAATATGCGTTTAAATTTTAATATAAATTTTTTTTATTAATATATTGTATTAAGTTGTATATATTTTATGCTAGCTAATAATTATAAAAAAATTTCTACTAGTTAATTTTATTAATGCTAAACATTTTTACAATAAATTTAAAATAAATTATAATGTATTTTGTTAATTTAGTAGTTAGTAAAATGCTCGCATGTAAAATAGTAGAAAAATGGGCTTTAGGTTTTTTACATTTTATGTGTAATATTGCCTTTAGGTTTTTTACATTTGCTAGCATTTATTAAAGAATAAGACGAGCTGTGTTGCTACGCAATAGTAATTATTTAAAACAGACGCCTATTTGTTATCGCTCTCGACAACGGTCTGCGGATTCGCGGACACATGCTGCGTCACATTTTACAAGCTTGTGATTGGTGGAACCGTTAGCGTTGTCGAGTGGCATTTTTAACAATTGTCGCGCTTTGCATCATTCTGATTGCAATAGCGAGAGCTGCCGGACAAAAATTTCATCTGCGAATATTTTGTGCGAATATAGTGTGTGTTGAAAATTTGGAAATTAAAAAATTTTTTAAATTTTTATTTGGTGAGACAGAATATTTAAACTGCAAGGATTAGACAGCGAGGAATATTATATAATCTTCATCGGTAAGAAAATAGCTACTTGGACAACAGCGAGGGATAATATCAAATAGGTAAGTCTTTTTTTATTGAAACACTTCATTTCGCGAATTTGCAATTGTCTCGTTTTAGTTATTTTAATAATTTTGATAAAATAATTTATATTCCTTATTTTTCCGTTTATACCTTAACATGTTCCGTGCCCAGCCGTATATATTATAATAAATTTAAGATGTATTATCAAAATAGTGTAGAACAAAAGAAATAAATTGCGAAATGTTTTATGATAATGTATTTGTTTATGTAAAACAGTGCTCGGAATTAGTCTGAACATTTCAGCCGATTTCCGTGGTATACGCCTCCTTTCCTCTTCTTACCGCGCGCGCCGCAGCCGCTAGAGCCAGCGCCGCCGAGCGTTAGGAGCGACACTATCTGATTATGAGTAAATTTTATTAAGACT